TCAGTAAAATGCGCAGCACACAATAGCAAATTGGGGTTATAATGCTCAGGAACAGAGTTAAAAAGTAAATTGCAACCACTGTTTCCTGACATCATCCGCTTTCGGAAGTGAAAAAAAAACTGCATGTTTTGCACGTCTCTTTTTGTCAACACACCTGATTCAGATCATCATCTTGTTAGAAGTGAGCTCCGTGCATGAACTGTGTTCCGATTGACATGGTCCCTACACAAGGTCCATTGCTCCCTACTCCCAGAGCAGGGGAAGTCCGTTGAAGTTTACTTCACTTCGGAATATTCATTTAAAGATTTGCGCTGCGCCACTGCCTGCAGCATCTTCACACACACATACGAAACTTACTAGAGAAGCGTGAAGTGGGACATAATATACCTCTGTAAATAAATACAATTTAAATTCACGTCTCGCACACTTAAATGCCCTTTGTATGCAACATATACACTCCCTTCAAACTGGAATCATGGCGTAATGTCCACTTCGCAGGGCACTTACAGTCAAATATAACAAACGTATGAAGCAATAAGAGAAACACACAAAATGTGCAGAACGGGGGTACGCGAGGACTGGAATTGAGAACCGCTGTTCTAGACATGCCGAAAATTTGAGGCTACAGCACAGTAGCTCTTCTTCTTGGTTTTCTCTGACGCACTAACTCTGCAGCAGCACTTCTTCTTCGTCGTCTCGTCTGATGCAGTCACTCAACCAAGCGTTCTAACCACGACCTCACCCCTCCCCACCCCCCAACCATTCGAATTTCTGTAGGCAGGAATTATTTGTAATGAAATTCTAATGAGCCGCTTTGGACTTTGAGATTTGTAACTTTCTAGATCTTTTTTATGCCCAATCATACACACTACACACTGACTAAAATTAAAAATGTGAAAAAGCATAATCGGACCCCTTTAACTCAAAGATTCGTAGAAAAAATTTAAACGTTGGACTCTGTGGTCGATTCTTTGTGAAGGTAAGGCATGTTATTCGCAATTAAGTGTTGTGGCTGCGTTGTTATAGGTCTGCGTGACTCTCGATGTCTTAGGCCTAATTGAACGGAGGAATTATGGTATTCTTCTGTAGCCTGACGACGAGTAACTAACCGTTGTTCATGTGAACTCAAAGACTGCCTGATGCTTTGTTTATAGACTATTTGTGGGTGGCTGTTTGTTGTTTCACCTATCAATTTGTGTCGATAAAGTATAATAGGGTAAATCCTGTATAGTGATTTATCCTATATATTGCTTGCATAAAGCAAGTAGTGCATACACTTGAAGCTGTTATGTATCTTTGTAAGTCATTGTAAGCCCTCTTTTGAGGCACGCGCAAGCGCACAAACCCACCCCCCATAAATTATATAAATGTGTATTTGCTGAGTGCTGACGGCAAACGAGAAAGTATTATAATGTTTGCCTTTCTATTACTAATAATATTAAAGCAATCATTATAATACTTTTTTGATTCATAAATTTTAATTCCTTTGTTTAACAGTTCTGTCTGATTATTAGACTTCTATCCATATTAGACAGAACTGAACGACGACAGCGAACAAGAGGGAGACTGTGAGCGGTGTGCGCTCAGGCGCTGCGGCTGCTATTCTCAGCGCCGTCAAAACAAAAGTCCCACCTACAACACTTCAGCTAAACAGAAAATCTTATCGGCCGATGCCGATATTTGAAAAATGCCAAATATCGGCCGATATATCTGCCCTGGCGATATATCGGTCGACCACTACTTTCTAGCATTGTAACATCATAAGATTTTAACACTAACTTTGTAGTATTTTAAAATGACGAAATTGTAACACTACACTGCAATACAAAATTTCCACATACACAAAATCATATTGATGGATAAGCTCTACCGCTCATGTTCTTCTTTGATTCCTTTCTTGCTTCCCTCATTTTATCGCTCTCACTTTGTTCATTTATAAATTTTTCATTCCTCTTAGACCACAATCTGGACCTTGTGGAGAAGGACTTCACTGTGAATACAGTTGCCGGAGCAATGAAAAGTTTCTTCTCTGAGCTGTCTGAGCCTCTGCTTCCTTATAGTTCACAGGAGGAGCTGGTGGAAGCATAAAAGTCCCGCCTTGGACACATCGGCCAAACAGAAAAACTTGTCGGCAGATGCCGATATTTGAAAAATGCTGATATATCGGTCTTGGCGATATGTCGGTCGACCACTAGTCAAAACCATACTAATTGTCTTGTGCAATTGTCAAATATGCTGTATTTGTCTTGCTGTTTGGCAGAAAACAAGACCAAAGCCTCGTCATTCTATCTCTAAGCCTTTGGAGAGTAACTACTTTGGGGTGCCCTTGGTCAATGTGGTTTCCCTTGAACGACCTATTCCAGTTTTCATTGACAAGTGTATTCGTTATATTGAGGCGACAGGTACATTTGCTGCTGCTGTTTCACCATCATTCTTATCCCATAACAGTTGTGCTTAGGGAACCATATAAGCTTATCATTATTGCAGTGTCCAGTTAAAATTAGATGCTTAATGGGCTGTAGCTGTCATAAATCACACCACAGCATAGTTTTGCACGTAGTTCACTCTTTTTCCTGACTGGGTTTCAGTTATGGTCTGACAATGAAGATTGTAGAACCATATTAATATAATTGTTTTTTCATTTTAGCATTTTTAATAGCCAGAAACCGTATATTAGACCTGTATGTAGTAGCAGTTTGTAGAATTATCTTCAACACTTCAGAAAGTGTTCTGGCAGTGATTAGTACTTAATTTCTTAAAATGCTTATAATAAGTCATAGAAAGAAGATTTACATTAAAATGATCTTGTTAATCAACACTCTCTCTCTCAGGTCTGACAACAGAGGGTATCTACAGGGTAAGTGGGAATAAGGCGGAGATAGAGAGCGTGCAGAGACAGTTCGAACAGGGTAAGTTCAGAAGAATTTCAATAAAATTGTTGTGGGTTGCAGTTGTTGGTATGATGGTGGATTGTCTTATGGTGTTATGGCATGTATTGTTACATATAGTTTGTATGAGTGCATGTTAACAGAAAGTACAACCTTTTAATGTAAAACGTATTTTGTGTTTTATTTCCACATACACAAAATCATATTGATGGATAAGCTCTACCGCTCATGTTCTTCTTTGATTCCTTTCTTGCTTCCCTCATTTTATCGCTCTCACTTTGTTCATTTATACATTTTCATTCCTCTTAGACCACAATCTGGACCTTGTGGAGAAGGACTTCACTGTGAATACAGTTGCCGGAGCAATGAAAAGTTTCTTCTCTGAGCTGTCTGAGCCTCTGCTTCCTTATAGTTCACAGGAGGAGCTGGTGGAAGCTTTCAGTAAGATTTCACTTAGCATTCTATAAAAGCTTTTGTGAAGAATATAATATTGTAAATTAATTTTCTTGAATTCTAAAATAATAAAGTGTTTCATGCAGAGGTAGCAAAATTGGATGTTATGTCATCCATAACACCATGCCTGTCTAAGCCTGTGGAATAATCAAGTTTATAATTTTTTGCACATAGAAATTAATGATCGAGAACAGAGGCTTCACACAATGAAGGATGTGTTAAGACGATTTCCCAGGGAGAATTTTGATGTCTTCAAATATGTAATGAGCCATCTAAACAAGTGAGTTTAAAAACCGCCTGCAGTTGCTAACTATTGGAGATCAGTTAAAGGGAAGAGACATCAAATCTCTGTTTTTCTTTCTCTCTCTCAGGGTTAGTCAGTGGAACAGAGTCAACTTAATGACCAGTGAGAATCTCTCCATCTGTTTCTGGCCAACACTGATGCGGCCAGTTTTCACCTCTATGGATGCCCTGACAGCCACACGCACCTACCAGACAATCATTGAGACATTCATCCATCAGTGTGCTTTCTTCTTTTACAACCAGCCTCCTGCTGAGTCACCCACTGGCCCCTTCGGACCCCCTGGACCACTGGTGCCCTCCGGATTGCCCCCATCCCCCACAGCCCACCCTTCTTATTGCCCTCCAACCCCACATTTTACACCCCTTCTGCAATCCCCACCACATTCTCCCCCCCAGAGCCCACACACGGCCCCTGGAGAACCACAAACACTGTGAAATGGGGAAAAATCACGTGGCCCATTATTTAGTGAACAACACACACTTACAATGCATGCATACACATCTACATTCATGCTCCGCACACACATCTAAAAGCCTCTAAAACATGTAGCTTGTTTAGGTCAGTGTTGTATGTAAAAAATTGTTCTGAGCTCTCGGTCCTGCTCCTGGAAATCCACCTTTCTGCAGAATTTAGTTCCAACCTGTTCTAACAAACGTCTGTAATTTTTTATGTACCATAAACCTTGACTATCTGGTTCAGGTGTGTTTGATTAGGTTTATATCTAAACTCTTTGTTGTACAGAGCACCTTAATCTACAGTTATTAACACATATCACACAAAATGAAGGTCTGTTAAAATTTCTTTTTAAAAGGTGTAACCAACAAAGACTCCAATCACCATGTCAACACTGCCCTTCATGTAGTTTATTACAGAAGGGGGATGGTGTTATTTTCTAGAGAGTGAATCTAGATGTTCTAATCAAGAAGGATACAAACGGTTTTGAAGGATTTTCCTGTTTTCTTCTTTCAGTAGAAGGCTTTAACATTTCATTTTACAACAGTACCTGCTCTTTTCTCTCCTGCTCTCTCTCTCTCTCTCTCTCTCTCTCTCTCTCTCTCTTTACGTCTCCTTATGGATCAGTGGTATGGAGGACGCTATAGTCATGAATGAAATCACTTTAACAGCAACCATATTCACCACTTTGCCTGGCTGTTGTGTTCCACTCTACCATTATTGGTTTCTACCCTATGCCTATTTTGTTATATGAACTTTAAATATACCATGGATTTCGGAGGATGTTTTTATTCTTTGCTTTAAAGACTTGAAGTTCTGACACCTGAAAGGCTAGAAGGTGATGTTGATGAGGATTTGCCTTGCTGAGTGTCTCCTGTGGATCTTTGCTCATAAATTCACCTAATGGGAGCATATGTGCCCTTTCTCTGAAGGCTGGGATTTAAATGGCAGCGATATCACGTGGTTTTAGGGAATGCACTTCCAGTTAGCGCTGGTGTGGGGCTCAAGATCACTGAGACTGCAGATTTACTCTGACCCTTAACCATTAGACTCTGAATCAGCAATTCAAAACCCTCACACCTTAGTTTTGGAAAAAAATACGTTGAAGGCCTTTTACTGATGCCCAGTTTGACTGTTTTACGAACTCCATTGTTTTTACTTAATAATCTAAAGCACTTTTTTGTCTTTTTATATAGACCTGTATTGTGAACTGCGACACTGAATAATAATTGGTTCCCATTTTTGCCATTGTGTTTAAAGGATCACTGGACCTTTTCAAGGTGAATGTAGAGTGGTCACAGATTAAGCCTAATCCTGGACTGAAGTTTACTCTTGATGATTCTACATTCATATTAGTATGTCTGTTGTCCTCTTGTACAGTCTGAAGTTTGACTAACATGGACCTTAATTCACCTTTTTTCCATTGTCTTCTCCTTGTGACTGGATTAGAATGACACAATTTGCCTCTTCTGCTTCTACCATCTCCATGTTCTGTCTAAACTCTTCTGGACAAATCCATGATGTATAATCATGATACAATGATTCATCGAATGTGTTGATTGTATGTATATTACCTTATTTTTTTCTCTTAAACCACAAAGCTTCTGATGTAAAGGAAATTATTCCTAAACATATTTTGCTTAAAATGCCACTTCCTTTTTCTATCCAGCCAAGGTAGAAAAGCTGAAGTACCAAAGTAGTGCATATGGCAAATCTTTGATTATTAGACAACGCTTTTGTTCAAGATCCTCTTCATTCTGTGTATCTGCTGCTTTTCTACCAGGCTGAACAAAACAGAAAGTATCCCCACTTTACTTGAAGTGTAATATTTTCCTTTCATATAGAGATTTCCAGCAAACTGCTTGAAAACTCTTGAATTAGCAACTAGTCCAGATGTTGATACAGCCATCTCTGTGTGTTATACTTGTAAGAATGCAATTTTTCTTCAAGCTAATGGGATTAGTCAAGAAAATTATGGTTATCATAATGGTTAAAAGAGTTGAGGCTCTTTAAGAGTGCCACAAAACATTCTGTTAAGTAGAAGTGTTTGTAGAAGTAGAACTTCTTTGGATTTTACTTTTGTTTTGGATTTTGACTTTCTCCTAAAAGTCTGAGTATGAAAACGTATTAATCTCTGCCCATTGTTGCATTGTGTTAAAGCCAGATTTTGGAATACTAGTGAAAAAAAAGAAAAGAAGAAGCCCTGATTAGTTGTGATGGTGCAACATTAGGAGTCATTTAAACAATCAAAATGTGTGAAAGTGCGCCTCACAACACCTGACCTGCTGAGTTTACTAATAAATTTTACCTAGAAACTGCTAAGTAAGCATGAGTCAAAATTCTGGGTTGCATGTGACAGTTGTGAAAATTCTGATCAGACACTTTGAAGCTATGTATTTCAAGGTTGTTTTCAATATAAACTCAGATTAAATTTCTCACACTTTAAATACTGTAATTGTAACATGAATTGATCAGAATGATTGAGATTAAATCCTCTACAGAAACTTTTATATAATTTTAAATTCACAAAAAAAAAAGAAACATAGTTAAAGAAAAAGTCTGACCCAAATCAGTTGTACTGTCTGAATGCAAGTTAGATCAAGGGTCAGTCCATAATAATTCAACAACTCTTGCTCTTTGTAAATGAATGTTCTGCTATCCTCGTGTGGCCATAAATTAATCCGCAGGTATATTTAATAAATGTATGAGCGCATGAAAAAATGTTAGCCCAGTTACATGACTGAAAATGTGAATTAAAGAGAAAAACATCATAGATATTTGATATTTGTATCTGGGCTAGTTTGTGGGAGAAGGATCTAGACTCTTGACCACTGACACACACACACCTACCACTTTGTTTCATCCATTTTCTGGTGCCTTTAGTTTCTATTAATTAGCAGAGCAGCTCTCTGCTGTGAGTAGTTGGGTTATTTTATTTCATGTTGGGGGGGGGCAAAAAACAAACTTTATGTTATGCTTTTTAAAAAATTTGAGAGAAAAAAGGTTGTAAGGTGGCATCTGAGATACGTAGCTGACAGTGGCTTTTTTCAAGTGACTCACTTGGTATTGTTTGTACCACTCAAATGAAGGACATTTCAGAATCACTGTAGTGGTTGCCTGGTTGTGTGTTAGAAGTACAAAACACACTGCCTTTTAGTTGACTGTAATCTAACCTGTTGTTTCTTTCATATATGAACAAAAGAAAAAAGTATTGGTGCTTAGTCTCTTGCTTCTTATTTAAGCTTCTTTTTTTTAATGGTGTTTGGCTAGTATAATAGCATGCATGACCGAAGATCTATACAGGGAGGCTTTTGCTGGTTTCGATATTCAGAATGAGTCTGATTAAAAATATGTATTTAATTATGATGGAAAAAAACAGCAAAATGATCCTGTGATGAAGGAGGGTCAGGAGGGCTTTAAATAAATGAGAACAAACAATAAATAAATTTTGTTACATGTATAATGTTCTCAATTTTTGTGTTTCTCATTGAGCTTACTTTAGACATGCTTTATGTTATGTATATTGAATATTTTGTCATTAATACTGGTTATATACTACAGTTCAAATGTTTGGGGTTGATGAGACATACATTCTTTTTTTGCTCACCAAGGCTAGATTTATTTTTTCATAGAGTAAAAACCAATAATATTGTGGAATATTCCAATTTATATTTATCTGTCTAAATGGACGATGCCACTGTTTATTTTCCAACCTACTGTTGTATTCATCACATATGTGGCTACACAGTATATAGTCAGAATTAAATGTGTAAAAAGTTGCATACGTTTTGGTTGGACATTGTTACACAGAATTAGAGAAATATCAACCTCAGAATGATTAGTTCATTTTTATTAAAAAAAAAAGTTCATTTGAACTTTTAGAAAATGTTAAAAATTAAAAAGGCCTTCTGCTATAATATATCTTTTGAAAAAGGATCTCAATCTTGCGATTGCACCACTAGTTTACAGTAACAGCCATATTGTGTTTTTGTTTTTTTGCCTTGTCCCTAGTCAATGATGCACCAAAATCTAGTTTTTATGACCATTTTCACATCTCTGACCCTCAGAATTAAACAAGCTGTTTTGCTATTATACCCTTAAGTCTTTCATTAATAAATTGTCTGTTATGATGGGCTAACCCAGGGTTTGGCTGGATAGATTGTTAGACTTAGACTCCACTCTGGGATGTTTCGAGTTTTAGTCATGGAACCAAAAGTCTCAGAATCTGAGCACAGTCTGTATTTCAATCAGGAGAGCTCAGATGGGGCTGAACTAATGTGAATTATTACTGTTTATCATAATATTATTAACTTGTCAAATAAAACTGAATTGTTTTCTCATTTAAATGACTGGAATTTTTAAACACCTTATTTAAATTGCAATGTAGAGATACAAAAAGACCTGCATTCATTTGACAAAATTTTATTTTCTACGAAAAACAAATCAAGAGCATTAAGGCCTGTGCCTGTGTGCAAACAGGTGGTGAAGTCATTGGCAGTTGTCACGGGACATGTGCAGGATCTTTAGTTACAGTAATCCTGCAGATCAAAGATACTGCAGGGGTTGTGGCAACACAGCTTCAGAACGCCTCTCTTCCTTATCAGCTCGGCATGATCTTTAAATGCAAAGTCGGCCACCTCAGTTTCCTGGGCAGATTTTGGAGGAAGGAACCCTGGAAAAATACAACAATAGGGAAAATCCTGACATTAGTCTAGTTTTATATAAAAGGCCAAATTGAATTGCTGCTCTTCCTTGAAGTTCCCTGTTCAGTTGGATAAAGAAAAAATGAAGACAATCAGATCAGACTTCATTGCCACAGAGGTTCAATCTTTTTGAATTCTCCCCAAAATATCATGTCTAACCTTGATGAGATACTTTTAAATGTATTTTTTAAGTTGTTTTACACATTATACATATTTTACAAATATACACTATACCATTCAAATGTTTGGTGTGAAAGTTTTTGAAATTTATCAAGAGTGACAGTAAAGGCATTTCTATTAAAAAAAACTAAAACAAATGCTGTTTTTTTTTAACTTCCCACTCATCAAAGAATCCTGAAAAATGTATTACAGTTACCACAAAAATATCAACTTAGTCCAACATTGATAAAAAGAAATGTTACTTGAGCACCAAATCAGCATATTATATATCACTGGTAAAAAGAATATTATTTCAGTGTTATCTTCTTCATGCAATGTATTTGCATTTAAAAGGCACACAAAACATACTATGCACACTACACAATATTAAATACATTAATTACAGGATAGGTGGAATGTCTTAGCAGTATCCAGAGTATTATTAGTTTCCTAGCATCTCTTCCCATATTTCCATACATTTCAAAGATTCTCTACTAGAAACATAGTCTTCCTTACCCAGAAGAGGGTCAACATCTCTTTTGGGGTTGAAGAAGAAGCCTGTTGGACCACAGACCAGGTAGAGGGCATCGACCAGATGGGATCCACACAGGTAATGCGGGGCCCCTGCGTTAACATTCACACTGGAGACAACCAACAGGAACAACAGAGCACCAGCCTGGAGCCACACTGCCATAGTCACGCTGACAGAAAGACACATATAAAGACATATTTACAGGGGCGTAGATGACGCGGGGGACGTGTAATATTTATTTGTGTTTGTCAAGTCATCTCCAGGTAATAAATAATGTATATGAACAATGCAGTGCTAACTGACATAGCATTTATTACAGTATTGAAACTAATCTGCCTTATGTGATACAAAAAAGTGTTTGTAGTATATAAACAAATCATTGGTTATTGTCC